TTATGATCTTTATTTTAAATTCACACTATGTTACTTTTGATGATTATCCAAAGTAAATCACTCAGTGTGAAATCATCCAAAATGCATCATTCTGTCTACCTTTTTCCATCTAGTTCTTCGGTTCAACTTTCACTGTGCTTTGTACTTTTATTCCTTGGTAAAAGCTTCCAGAATGGCTCGGTTGAAACGGAACGAACGAATTACATATATGCAAAGGCGTAGACCTAATTTCACGTAGGCTAATACATCAGCTGGAATCAATTTTACACCCGAAACGGTTAAACCAGAAAAATTGAGGTCATTTAGCATTGCATAGTATGCATTTTCCTTTAGATTACATTTGTTGTTATCGCTGTATTTGTTTTTCCCAGGTCTGCAAACCGGTTTTGAACCGAACCGCCGCGTTTTTCGTACTTTAATCAGAACAGAACAGAAGAACCTAAGGCAAGATTTTGAGCGTCAATTCAAAATTCTCAGTATGCAATTTTTGTTTACTAAACTTACGACTCGTTGAAACGTTAAAGAAGTTTACTCGGATACTTAAATAATACTGCCTTCTGATTTCACTTCCCAGACCCAAAAACTAAACCATCTATTTCATACGCAATTTTTTACGCTGAATTCAGAAGTACTCCAGCATGCCAGGTTTATGAGATATTCTAACCTAAGGGTATGAAAATGGTCGTTTTTTTTAATTTCAAAAACTTTTATAAACGAGAATAAGTTTTTTCGAATATTGGCACAAATTTTACCTTAACCCGGTATCTGACAGGTGGGGTGTAATAAACCCCAGCATAGTAATTTTCTTAGCACCGCTTATAACTTCAGTCCAGTTGTAAGCGGTTTCTAAGTGGCTTTAATGAATAGCGCGACATATTTTTATTGCTAATCAATAAAGAAAAGCAAAATTTTTAAAAATATTAAATAAATTTTAGTGAAAATCGTAGTAGGTACTTGAGAATAAAAGGCTTTATTCCAATGGGGTTTGTCGAAACTTGTTACGAAAATTCACCCGTCGAATGGGGGGTTAAAGTGCACTGTTTCACCTTTAAATATTTTTTTAATTCCGGTTATTCCTCGCTGAGATATAAACATTTTAACTATACATTGAAACTATGATATTAGCTTTGCCATTTTGAATTTGCATTGTTGTTGTTTTGTGATATTGTAGTCATATTTTCAGACAAATTTTCGATTCATAAAGCATTCCTTATTTTTTATGGATTTGGGTTTTAGTATTTTAATAACTGAACCATTCAAACTGAACCACTGTTCAGAGATAGTCGTGAATCGGTTCCTGTACCGGTACAAGTTTTTTCTCAGTAGTTCGAATTAGATATAGGCACGGGACTAAATATTCAATCCCGATCCCATCCATCCCGAAATTCAATTTTTAAGTCCCGAGCCCGCCCATCCCGAGGTTTTTGACAATTGTACCGCGGGTCCCGTGGGTCCCGAAATTTATCACTAAGAAAAATTCACATGCCTTTCAAATTAATTTAAATTATAAAAAGATAACGAATGATCTGGCATCTTGCGATTATTTTTTTTCTGTTCGTTTTCGTCTCAATAAAACATAAAAAGTTCTTATTTCATACAATGTTTTAAAGGAAGATTTTCGGTATTTGCGGAGGTTGCGGGTTTTATCGGGAGTGTCGGCAAAGGATTTTGGTCCCGTCCCGCCCGCAAAACTTTTAAAGACCTACCCGAAACTGCCCATCCCGGCCAAGTTAAAATCAGTACCGTTGGTCTCGCGGTATACCGCGCTCATCTCTAGTTCCAACCACTGAACAGACCCGCTTCCACATTTGGAACGGTCTGCAGCCCTGGTTTTTCCACAAACACTTGGGTTGATCGTATGCTTAAAGTACCAGTTTCATGTGTTATCTTGCCACTTGAACGAGATTGTAGCAGCCACATTCGATTAAATATGTACGAAAAATAAATTTAGAACCATTTCATGTGACTGAATACAACATAGAGAGGATAAAGCTGAACGAACTATTTAGATCCCGTACAATGAACGACTATTTCATCAAAAGCTAGAAGGGAGTCAATACGTTTTATCTCAGCACATTTTCAATGTATTTTCGGCTGAGATAGGGCGTCTTTGAACCGAATTCTGAGATAGGGAGTTCTTGAAAAGTTTTCTGAGATAGGGCGTTTTCGAACTGGCTGCCTGGCTGAGATAGGTCGATCTTCGAACTGGCTGGAACTGGCTGAGATAGGTCGATCTTCTACTCAGCCGTCGATATGTATGTATGTATTTTGTTTACATGGGTACGGACCATAGTGAAATTTTAAATAGGTGTATTAATAAAACAGCTTTCTCGCTTTATTTTCTCCACATTCGGCACACATTTTCAAGGCAAATTTTCAAAATTATTACTTCACCTGCTATAATTTCATCATGGCTATGGACGTGCTTTAACATCTTATAAAAAAAACATATCACCTCGCTTGTGCGTTTTAAATTGTGTAAATATACATATGTACATATTTACATAGTTAAATTTCGCTCTTCATTGACGTTACAATGTTTCTTAATGCAGCAGAGAAGTCCTTAACAAAACAAAATAAAACACTACGGTGAACGCAATAAAGCGGTATTTTAAAAACACACAGCAGTTGAAAAAATATATAAAAAGCAAAAATAAAACCAGCATGCAGCTCGCGCGTGATATGATGCGTCTCCATACAAGAATGAAGTGTCACTAACTACTATTCGACTATTCGCCTTTTTCCAAAACCGGTTTTGGAGTTATTCGAAAAATTGCAATTTGAAAGAACCGGTTTCCGATTTAGAAATTCAGAAAAAATCGGGTAAACCGGTTTTATTTTACATAGTTTTTATACAGTGAAAATGCTTATCTTGATATGAAGTCATGAGCAAAAAATACAATAAAACTATTAACAGTAAAGATAGCTTTTATTAAAAAAAGAGTAAAGCAAAATAAGTACAAAGTTTTTTATATATAAATTAAAATCGATAAAAATCAGTTAAAAATTCACGTTTGGTATTTTTTTAAACACTTTTTTTGCATCTTTTCTGCCTGGTTCAATTTCTGGATCCAGCGACATCAACAGAAGTTTTTTTCAAGCAGCTGTCGCCCCACGGCAGAAAATGGCAAGCCTTCGAGTGTAGTTCTGCCATAAAGGAGTAGAACACGAGTGCGAAGAGAAGCTCGGCCAAACACGTAGAACGCGTTTAAGCACCAAGCATTCATTTATTGGAATCAAATATGATATAATGTTCAACCCCAAATAACCTAGGTCCTACGATATAATTTTTAAACAATTTAGGGGCTTCCCTTGAACTGCAAAACTTCGAAAAACCCAAAAAGTTTATTCAGAGGTGAATATTTGGATGAAATTAAAGACAAAGAAAAACTGTTTGTTCGATCAAAAAATCCGGTTTATTCGATATTCGAAAAATCAATATTTCAAAAAAACCGCCTATAGACTTACAAAAAAAACGGTGGTAACCGGTTTGGAAAAACCGAGTCAATCACCCTACTAACTACCAATGTTAAAACTGACACAGGGAAAATCAGCCGTCACTGGACTTAATTGTATTCCACTTGCAGTTAGCTCATTGATTGTGGTTAACAAGCGAAGGGTTTAAAAATGTGCAGCAAAAGAAAAGTTCTTCTGAGGGCGACAAAAGAAATGAATAAAGATAAAAAAAAACTGAGTGTCAAGTGCTGATGATACAAAGTTTGTGGATGAATAGCACTCATGAAAAGCATTGAGTTTTTGTGGCGGCTGCTGTAGTATGAACAGATAGTCTGCGAACGCTTTCCCTCACACAGAATTACTACCAAATTTAATTTCCTTCTGGAGCTTAATTTACGCTATGTAACCCAACTCTTTTAATTGAAGCTGTGGCTAGAATTTTTTTTTTATAAATTTTCCATTCTTTCATGTGTAGACGGTATTACTTGCTAAAATATTTAAGTTAAACTTAAAGAATTACCCGTCAGATTTCATGAGTCACAAAGAAAAAGGGTTAATGGAACTTGTTACTTCACAAGAAAAATTCCGTCTGAATTAACTGCATTAAAGAAGCTCCTCCTTGCATTACATGAATCCTCAGTGAATTTATCACCAATGCTATAAAAAGCTGCGTCAAAGAATTTCATCAATTTCTTGAATGGTATTAAAGGAAGTGAAGCAGGTTAAAGGACACTAATAAAAGTCAATTTGTAGTCTACTTAGATGTCAGGCGGCAAATAGAAAAGGTTAGCGAAAGCGGAGACAAATTGCGTAAACTAATTAGTGACGGAAGGACTTTAAAGTGAAGAGAGGAATCTACTTTACAGAAACAATTAATTTTATTTGCAGGGAAAAAGACTATATACTATGTACATTTGCTTGTGCAAGCCTAGATGTACATATGAATGTATATATAGATATGTATAAACATGAGTATGTACATAGAAAAATATATACAAATATTTGTGCGTTTTATTTGACAATAATTTTGTACAGAAAAGTCAAAAACTTTCATAAAAAATTATATACAAATGTCTGTTTGCAATTAATCTCAACTACACTTGTGGCCACGCAAACCTTACCACCACTTAAAAAGAAAAAAAAAAGTTGGTAAAATTTATTAAATTAATAAAAATTGTAATATAGTTCAATCTGTAACAAGCTATCTATATTAAAAAAAAAAAAAATTTTTTATTAGTTTACAAAATCCTACCTAATTTTTGTGTTTTAAGTGGTGGTAAGGTTTGCGTGGCCACAAGTGTAAGTATGCGGTCGAAAATCTTAAAGCCAAAAAAACAAACAAAATGGCAAAATACCTTTTTAGCTTGTAGAAATATTTTTCTAAGCCTTCTCTTTATTGTGATGGGGTTGAGCAAAATCCTTTTGGAATTCGACTACTACTTTGTATATCTCAGTTTACCCTCTCATTACTGAAAGTTGAACATTCTTTTCGTACCTTTATATTAACCTATTTAAATTTCTTGCCTTTCAGGTTAAAAAATAAATAGATACGACTTAAGTGCGCTAAACAATTACGAGCCCAAAGCAAAATCGTATATAGTAACGAGTTAACATCACACAATTTTTAACTAAGCCCGCCTGCAAAAAAAAACGGTATAATCATTGCTGCCGTTATTATCGCCATTAGCACCACTGATCCGGTCGCCTCCACCACCGCTGACGCTGCAATCCCATCTATAGCAATGCGTCGTTCCTCGTTTACGCCTGTCTTTAGTTTGAACACTCAGGAGCCGCTCATCGTAGTAGAAGAAACAAACACCGCCGATGATGGCGAAGTGGTGGAGGGTGCAGCTGGTGGTGTTGATACCGCAGGAGCCACACGAAAATCCACTAGCGACGATTCTGATCCCGACTCGCCTGTCAATCCGTATTTGTTATGCCCATTTCCGGATATGCAACAGCGACGCAAACATTCATTGCCATCGCTACAGATCACCGAAGGTATAACGGCCAGTCAAGTGCGACGACTGTCAGAGGTGGGTGGTGAAAATGGTGGACTTAGCCCTAAAGAAGTTGAATTTCTGGCAACATTGTCACAGAAAGCAAATCCCGCAGCGGGTGGCAGACGGCATTCGGTTGTCACAATTTCCGCCGTACCACCAACGTTATTTGGACGCAATCGACGAGAATCGCTAACAGGCTTGCCACTCAGGTGAGTACAATAAAGCAGCGTAGCGGAAGGAATTGCTAACGAGTATATGATGAGGATTGGGATTGACATTTGCAACTGTGGTATGACTGATTGTGGCTTTGATAGAATATTAAATGAGTTTTCATTTCCGTTCATGAGCAACAAAACTAAACCACATTTGACAAATGAAAGTCTACACTTACACAGTTCATTCAATATAAATACGTATGTATATGTGTAAGTATGTATTACTGTTAGTAGGTAGTAAAGCTCTGTAACAATATTAACGCAGCACTATAAAGCTTTAATATGTTCAAATAGTGTCAGCACATCTTTCATTGCCAGACTATTTCGAATGTGTTCAGCTCGAATTCAAGTTCTAAAATGCAGGCAGGAACCAGTAGCCAACAGTTTTTCTACTTATATACCCGGGCGGACTTGTGCATAAGGATGTTATAGCTTTGTCCACATAAGGTCTCCCCTCCGTGAATTTTGTCCCATGAACCTGATTATACTTACTAAAGCATATCGAGGGCCTATATTCGAAACCCTCTATATGCAGATCTTCCTATATCAGATCTTACAAAAATGGGTTTTTAATAACAAAATCTGACTCCATATTTCCTTCAAATCAATATAATATCTACAAATAGTGGAATTCAAAGCTAGATTATCAGAACTCAATTTGACTATATCAGAAACTGATTTGTTTAATGTTTCAATGTTTCCCCTCTGAAGGATATGTTTTTTTTATTTATTTATTTATTTTTGAAATGAGTAGCCTATTTTATCCTCAAAAAACTGGATTTGTGTGAACTCTTATAAATCTTATGAAACATGCATATGCAAGTTAAGCGCCAATTACTACCAAAATTAATAAACGCCGAACAGAATAGTCGACAAAAAGAGCCTTACAAGTGACAAGTTAAAATAAATTCACTAGGTGGAGCCAATGTTCAAATAATATAGCCAAGCTCAGTCAGGTCTCTATACTTAATGCTCTAAAATTTTCTGCTCTCCCTCTTTAGCGTCATAAAATATGGTGTTCCATATTGACACTTACATCTATACCATGATTCAATAATAGAAAGGTTTTGTAATAAAACAGTCTTCTCGCTCCTACACATAAAATCGGCTCCTTTACTTGTGCAGAATGTTGCTCACTCTACAGTTTTTAGTTATATTAGTAGTAAAACCAAAAATTCTTCATACTAAATATTCGTTGGCGTCACCTTCGTTTGTGTAGTTGTGTAGTCTAGAATAGCGACAGTTTAGCTATAAAATAACAAAAAATGCCGATTGATAGAACTTTTTACGCTGATTTCAACGATACCAAATTTATTTGGCGCAGGTAAAAAATAAAGAAGATATAAAAGGTTTATTTGTATTTTTTATTATCACTAAATTGTTGAAACCCAAAAGTAGATCATAATAAAATATGTAATATCGAATTAAAGATAATAACTTGTACTCTCTAAATAATATACATTTCTTTACCATTAATTATGCAGTTTTTTCAAAAAAGGTTATTTCATGAAAAAATTACATTTGTTCGTTTTTTTGTGGTTTTGGTTTAAAAATACAAAAAGCTATAAATTATGTACATCAGCTGAAGAACAAATTAATTACCTTTATGGTGACGTCATTAGTTTTTTAATCGGTTATTAAGTTCATAAGATATTAATATTTAAAATATCTAAAAACTGAACTTTAACCTTCTAGAACCTCTTCATTTTTTACTTGCGCCAAATCATTGTTGGTTGAAATGAGCATAAAAAGTTCTATTGATCTGCATTTTTCGTTTTTGCATAGCTGAACGGTCGGTATTCTAGATTTGTTCCCGGAAATGACGAATAACTTAAATCAAAATTGCATATTTTTATGTATTGATTAGTATTTCAATTAAAACACCAAATATATTGCAAATTCGCATAGAATTAATAATACACATTTTACTTCTAATTGTATACTTTGCGTCCTTTTTGTAGTACCATTCCACTACCGTTTTCGCAAAATGCGATCACATTCTTCCCCTTTCTCCTACATCCAAAATACAAATCTAGATAAAGGAGTGTCAAATTTTAGCTGTCACAAACTACACAACCTTGTATTATTGAATCATGCATCTATACATAAATTTCATTAATTTTTTAAATACAAATGTTTAATCACTTAAGTGCCTAAAATTTACGTACGGTCGCAGTCAGCTTAATTTCTAAATTTATTGCATATAACACCTCACTCTACTTACCCAAAGTCTACCAAGAGACAATACCGTGGGCGGACATCCTAAAAGTTGGTCAAGATGTTTGCTATCACATTCGTTGATTACTGCAAATAAATCTGCAAATGATAGAAAACGTTCTTATTGCAATCGATTCTCAAGCCGTAAAAAACAATTCCAAGAAAAAATACTATTTTTTAATATGTAACAATGTGCGATTGAGTGTGTGTGTTTTATGAGAATCCATACTTACTTACACTTTCTCTCCCTCTCTCTCTCTCGTTTACACCTTTGGCCAGCAGTGGCAGCCGGCGCGGCAGCATTATTCAAGGGCCACCACTTACCGACCATCGAGGCAGTATCCACAACTTGCAACTTGACATCATGGATGGCATAGTGCAGACGCGCAAACGTGCCGGCAGTGGTGTGTGGACGGCACCAGTACTGCAAGAGACCGAAAATAATGTGCCAGTGCAAACATAAATCATAACAACGTCCCCCTATCCTACCAATCGGCCCACGACCATCATACTCAAAACTAGCAACAGCATCGACATTAATGGCAGTAGCAATAATGATGAGAACAAGAAGAAGAAGAAGAAGAAGAATGACTGTCAAATTAGCACCAATAAAATTAAGCAAAAAACTAGCAGCAAGAATAACGCGGGCACTTTGGATGGGGCGACGGCTGAAACACCAACAGCAGCAACTACATCGACAACGACTACGGCAAATGGTAATGAGCGATCAACATCATGGCATAGCAATTTAGTTTCACGTTTTGGCGCGTTGCTTTGTTGGCAATCGCTGGACTGTTGAACAAACGAGTGGCTTGAGTGACTCCAACTGGACAGAATTGAAATCGTATTGCGGTGAGAAAAGTAGCACCAAATATGTGTGTGTGTGTGATGGTTAGTCTTTGGTCAACTGACCACCACAAATTGCAACAGGAAATGTCCACAGTGCACAGCAAGCGTGAGCAATACGGAGTAGCTCAATTTGGTCGTCCAATGCGAAAACAATCATAAACTTTCCGCTTTCGCAAATTACACAGTTGGAAAAATTGCAATAAAGGTGAGTTACAAAGACATCGATTTACCAGCTTTACAAGCATGCGCGCAATGTCAATAATATTGACGTTATACTCGTACAACAATGCCGAAGGTCAGTCGAAGGGGGGACGTTGGATAGAAGAACAAAAGTTCCAAGGTTCTATATTCACTGGCTTTCTTAGAAGGAAGCAAAACATGAAAGGCGGTAGATATTAACAACTTCAAAAGTACGTTGAAACTTCGCATGAGAGTTTGTATGCATTCACGGGCTGTTTAAGGATTTCATCACAGAGAATAATAAAGGTAACTTTTACGAGTATTGAAAACTTTCATACTTATTTATACATAAAGAACTTTTGTAGAATGTTGTATGATATCCTCTTGAATATGGGTAAGTTTATGGCCGCTGTGTCTATGTGGTTAGTGGTGCGTACTAACACTTTGTAGGACCTTGGTTCGATCCTTGGTTCAGGTAACACCTAAAATTAGAAAACGTTTTTTCTTAACAACGGTCGCCCCTCGGCAGGCAATGGCAAACCTCCTTGTGTACTTCTGTGCACTGGAAAAGGTTCTCATAAAATCAATTTGCCGTTCGGAGTCGGCGTAAAACTGTAGGTCACTCCATTTGGGTAACAACATCAAGACGCACACCGCACTTAGCAAAAGTGTAAGCGTCAAAATATTATTATAACTATTCAAGGCGAATTCATACAAAGGTGGTGTTGCTAGAACAGCTGCTTTAATTCGCCTTGGTAGACAGATCTCAAAACTTCTTATGAGTGGGTGCGAAAGTAAGAGTGTTGAAATTTTCTTTCCCTCTTCGAATAGCTGAAATTTTACATTTGTGTACCGAAAGCAAAAACAAAATACATGTAAATTTTTGCTTTTGGTACTACCGCTACCACCTTAAATGAATTCGCCCAGATTATGATTATTTTTTCCAGCTATTGATTGCTGATGTGCGCGTTGTCTATAAGTTAGGCTAATAACTCCTCTCACAGCCCGGTGGGAATCAGAGCCCTACACCCACTTACCATGCGCTCAAAGTTAGTAGGTGAATTCCCCACTTTTCTTTCACTCGTGTCTGAAGTATTGGCTTGTCAGACATGTATAGGTGCCACGCAATAACGCAAATCACAGAAAATTGAGCTAGCCAGGCCCTCGAGCCAGGCTAATCAAGAATACAGTAATTGGGAGTTCCCTTGACTATCTGTAAACTTCCCATGGAAATAATAACTTAGCGTAAACTCAACAAACGCTGAACGAAAATCAGGGTATGTGCAAGCTAAACTTTTTTTCGTGATACGCCTATAGTGTACATGGCGTATGAGTAACAATCATTACGCATTTTTATTTGACCATGCGCCACTCTTTTATTTATCCATCGATCTTATTTGTTAGCAGCTTGATTTTTTTATAAAAGAATAGGCTTTAATAAAAATAAAGAAATTTATACAAAACCTTTTATTTTTTGCTATGTTGCTTGCAGATAAGGTTTTCAATATGAAAAAGTATGGCTTCTTAAACCCATTCTTTGAAGCGTTCTCCCAACAACTGATAAACTGAAACAAATACGATAAATTTTTCTCTTCTGCAAGTTCAACCAGCATCTTATGAACCTATCTTATGGAAGCCTAATGAAGCTGCATTTATATATATTCATCCAAACGTAAATTATACAGTCAAGGCTTTAACAGTAAAATGTATGCACTAAAACTTCTTTATCTCTGCACTTGAAATGCATTAAATTATAAAATGTAAGGGATAATGTGCTTATAACGCAAGGAATGCACACTTACACGACCCTACATTACCATGAACTTTGATATCAAAGTACATACATAATTAAGTACATACATAACTTTTATTTTAATAATAAAGAGCAAAACTTAAACAAAAATACGAGTATACGATGTGCATAGAAGAGAAAGAAGGGAAAAAATGATGAAAGCATGCACGCGCGTACATAAAAGTATATTTATTTATATACCAGTACAAACTTGCTGAAAAAAATAAAACTACAAAGTCTGTAAAAATGCTGTAAATTGCTTGGTGGCAAAGCATAACAAAAAAGAAAAATATATGTACATACATACACATATAGGAAGTGCAAGTGTGCGAGCATGCAAATAGGCGAAAGCGCAACAGTACGTCAACGCAACAACAAGGATTTCCCTAGCGCATTTGCACTTTCCGACATAAACGGAAGGAAATATGTACTCGTAGATTCAAACAACCACACGTAGAAGCACCAGACTTTCATTTCTAAGTATATATGTATGTATATACAGGGCCATGTGGGATGGTACACACTACACACATATGCATGTACCCGAGAGAGACGATTTTCTAACACAGGAAGAGAGATTATTTTTTGAAAACTTGTATTTGACTGCAATCAAAAGAATTTTTCTCCATTTCTTTTTTTATTTTGAATTAACAAAGCCGATGCTGGAAACGCAGTTACGGCATTAATTAAATATCTCATATTAGAAATTTACCAATTTCAAACCAATAGATTTTCCTACTGGGTATGCACGTGGCCATGCACATTCTCATATACATACATATGTATGTACTCATCAAGAATGCAATTCCACTTGCTACTTGTGCGCACTTCTTCTCTGGGGTGCTGATTGCATGTGTATGTGCTGAGTAAAAGCACTTTGTGGGTGTGCAACAAGTGAATGTTTTCGGTAGAGTGAACTAAATTAAATTTACATAAATTCGGAAGAATTTAAAGGGCACATGAGGACGCGCGCGTCTTTATTTGTAGAAGGTTTTTACACACCTACATATTTAGGTACATTAAACCGTACCAGAAAAAAAAAATCTCCCCGTAAACCCTCGAAACTAAAATATTTTTGCAAGATAATTTAGAATTAATTTTTTTTTTTGCCAAAAGTAGGGGTCGCTATTTTCGTCATATTTTCTGCATTTACAGTCAGATCTTTAAGTATGATGCATCGATGTTTTTATCCCGAGTTCTAGCACTTACCCTCCAATTCTTATTACCCTAACATACCACCCTAATGTGAGTAAATTAAAGCTTACCTGATCCAATCATTAACTTTTTGTTAAATAAGTATTAGTCACAGTGGCGTATGGCGCACTTTTTTCGTTTACTTGTAAGGTGGTACGGTCTAATGTATGTATACATACATATGGATGTGTTCTCATACAACGTCCACGTGTATGTATGCGCTTATGTAAGTGAGCACGACAAATGTGCTTAATGAGCGATATAATAATACTTTAATTGAAATGCAAGGATAAAATATTTTTTTCGGAATTTTGGTGTGTACATTTTTAGTATGCGTTCATATGTATGAATGTTCAAATGCCACCATGTTGCTTCTCTAAACAAAACATAAAGTGTTATCAACTTTAAGACTCTTACCAAAATAGATTGTCTTAAAGTCATTCGTATGGCGTATTTCATCAACAAATGTCAGCTGACAACATTTTTTCCATTCAATACCCTTGGATGATAGAGGAATGTAATCTTATGGGATTTGCTTTGAAATTAAAATAAAAATACCTTCAGTACCATTTACAATTCAATGCGATTTCCGATAGTTTTTAATGTCTTAACATAACTGAATATTAAGCGTTTTATCGTGTGGTATTTACACTATTAATTTTGACTTCCGTCGTGGTTAACGCTTGTGTCTATACTTCTTTTTAAATATTATACTCTTTTTTTGGAACTCAAATTTGGATACTGCTGTACTGCATTTATACGTGTGACTTGCGCCCACTTGAAGAATGCATCCCTGCGCAACTTCAATCGTCCAACCATCCATATGGTAATTACCAATAAAAGCATCCCCGCTTCCATTTCGAATACGAACTTGCAACGATGGCTATAAATGAGCTACGAACCTTTGTATTATATTTTTGAAAAGTTATAAACTTGTAAAAATACTTTGAGTGAAGGAAATCCAACAAAACCAAATCGATATATACATATGTATTTAGAGGTTAGTGAAATACGTAAAAAAAAAATGTGTGAGAATTAACATGTAACAGAAATTTTTTCGAAATAGAAATATAAGGTTTTTTTTGCACAATTTTAGTCGTCGAATTAAACAGGAATAGCACGCATCGGTTGCTGCCTTTAAACATTTTGGAGGCTACATAGAAAAGTATTAGCTACTAAATAAGACAAAATTCAGCTCCCAAAATCTGCAACTGGAATTTTAATAAATTTTATTAACAGGCCTTTATTGAGCTTTTTGATTAGATTTCTTAAAAAAATTTTAAGCATGCAGGTTTGTAGCCCATTCAATTATAGTAGAATAATAAGTGCAAGTTAAACGAGCTGGGACTTACGGTTTTTGAATTTTTTTTGTTGAAGTTGTAGCTCATTTTCTGCATATAAAATAATCATCGAACATTCTACGTCTAGAAGAAAATGATTGACACTGTCAACGAAAAAATTGTCACAAACTTTAATGTACTAAAATCTAGTGACCTATAATACCGTATACACAAAATCTTAATCTTAAATAACAAAAAGATACACTGGTAAAACTTGTCAATATGTGGTGCCCTTATGATTATGACACGGGGTGTATTTTTAATTTTAATAAAAGATTCAGCGATGATTTCAAATATGTTTGATGTTTTCGCACATTTATTTATGTTTTCTTATTATTACAAAGATAAATATAAAGAAAAATATGAGGATGAGGATACCGATAAAAGTAACGCTGAAGATAGAGGAAAATAGATTAAAATAAAGATAATTATAGATAAAAGGATATAGACAGAGACTCAATCTGGGGACTTTTTCGGGATTTTAGAGATTTTCGGAGTTCTCGGGACTTATCGATATAATAATCGATATTTTATCGGTTTTGTTATCGATTTTGTAATCGATTTTTTATAGATTTTGTAATCGATTTTGTTATCGATTTTGCTATCGACACTATTATGGCTCTTGTTATCGATATTTTTTTCTTAGTATGTGCTTTCGTTTTTGACTTAGATGTGCTCTTAACCATACCACGTATTCTACGTTTATATTTAGCGGCTTTGTCTCCGATACAGCCTGCAGACAAAGACAAAGGCGCTGGACTGTTCCTTTTTTTAAGTAGTCACTACTTTTTCAAGTGAATTTTATTGTAATTTTTCTATACAAATATGGTCCAATCTTTAATCAAAATCATATATCATATATTATGTACTATATACATTGGAACAAAATATTTTCTTTGTCGAACGTAGGGGTTCCTTTATTACATTTTGCGTCTTATTTACAGCACTTATAGTCGGATCTTAAAGTACGATATATCGATGTTCTTGCCTCGAGGAGACAATTTCCAAAGTTCATTGACCTCAAGTACCCCGTTCTGATCTTAGTTCATATCACTCATAAGTTCCATCCTAATTTGAGTAAATTAAAGCTCTCTGAAAATCAAGAAACTTTTGCTAAGGAAGTTTTTTGAGTGTCCCATTAGAACTATGCATTTAAAAAAAACATATATAGCCGAACGCACATTTCTAGGTGTCTGTGAAAAATGTAAAAAGGCTCGGCAAAACAAAAAAAAATATTTTTCTATGTGTATGCATGCACTTCAAGTCAAATGGGATTGTTCAATTTTAATATGCTTTGCTTTATTATTTATTTAAGTCTGCCATTTCCGTTTACAGGTCAGCGATGGGATTAAATACGGCAGCAAAAAAACAACAACAACAACAACAAGAGCATCTAAAACAAGCATGTACATATGCATATATGTATGTAGTATGTACGTACTTATACGTATGTACTTACTAATCTCTCTAATAACCGCAAACCAATTAACTATGGAAAAACTGAATTCATTGACAAACAATGGAACTTGAAAGCACACTCGTACATACACAATCAAATAAGAAGAATCAACAATTTGATGAGATTATAAAAAGGACATATTTAATTATTATTAAATCAGGAATTGATAAATTAGTAAATAGACACTTACAATATGTATTTATGGTATGTATGTGTATGTGTACTTTTTCGAATAATACAATTGGACTTACTTACATAAATACATATATGCGTAGTTATAGAAATAAATAAATATGTACTATACATATTGCCTCCAATCATAAATATTTGGCCATTCGAAATTTTAGAAAAAATTCATACTTGATTGGATTTAGATAATATTTGATATTGTATTCCTTTTTGTTACTAAAATATAATTAGGTAATACAAAGCAATAAAAATTTATTTCAAAATAAAACATTGTATTTCGTAATTAAATAAACAAATAATACTTATACATACGTCATCCAGGAATTTACCACCAACACTGTGCAGCTATTGTAAGGCTCTTTCCTTTTTTATTAACAAATTCAGTTATAAAAACTTTAACTTTTTCATTTAAACACTAATTTCATTAAAATATTTTTTTCAATGCAATCACATCGTAAACCTAACTGGAGGTATCTAAAAATGACTGCATTGCAATTGAGAAAACATTACACGGCACTCATTGAGGTGCCCATTCTCTATTTACACAGGCATTGTTCAATCACAAGCGGTATAAATAAAGTTAATGTTCCGCTTGGTGAAGTCGTTCATTATTTTAATAAAAATCTGTTTAGATATTACTATATAGCAATAAAATTTAGAAAAAGGTATAGATTTAACAAAGTAGTTGTATAGTACATACATACATGTACATATGTATTCCTAGACCCTCAGGTGTTGTTTGATTGATATTTATTTTTCATAAATATGTTTTCATATGATAATTGATTTAGTCAATCGGGCACAAAGAATCATTCCTTTTAAAACTAATAATGTTAATATGACGCTAAATGCATACATCTGTTATATAGGGTTAAGAAATATAAAAGCATATATGTATTAAAATTAAATTGTAAATTAGCAAAAGATCTATTGCATTGAGATGTACCACGTACCTTACCATAAAAAAATACAATTATATTAACAAAAAAAAATGTATATCTATGCCAAAATTAACTTAAAAAATTTAAATATCAAGGCGTAGTTAAGTAATTATTAAGACATAATTTTATCGATTTGTGAATGTTTTTGAATAGAGCTACCTGCATTGAAGTACCTATAAAAAATAATGAAGACATTTGTGTGCTAAATTTTCCATCAAAGAAAAATGTTAGCAAATAGTTGAAAAATCATTTTTGCCTCATTTACAATGCAAACAAATTTATTAACCTAAAATCTTTATTAGAATAGCTTTGATGAAAACCCTCCTCCAAATTGGTCACGCTTTAATTCAAGAGAAAATCAACAATTTAAATTCAGACAGAAATTTAATCAAGTTGATTAAATTTTTAATTGAGCTACCGGTTTTTGTTGACCTACGTTCAAAAATATATAAAAAGTATTTGCCTCCAGAGCGTTCCTGCCAAACTCTAAAACTTTTAAATGTAAAATTATTGATAAATTTAAAAATCTAAATTTCCATTCCGATTAGTAACCGGTTTTAAATTTTAGTTATAATTTTAATTTGCTTGCATAACCCAATAATTAGTAATTTATTATAAATTAAAATAATCATGATTAATTGTCATTAAAAAGGTAATCAAAAATAATCAAATAATTAAAAATAATCAAATAACGCTGGATAACAAATTTTAAATTGGTTTTTGTTCTCCAGACGCCACTATCCAATTTCTATGTAGAATTGCTCGGTGATTCCGAAATTCGGGTTAATTTATTTTCTATAGATACCAGTGTTGTCGCGAATCTTTTTCAGCGGTAGCCAAATTCCGTTAAAAAAAGGGCTAAAAAAGAGCTAAAAAAGTCGTTGTGGCTAAAAATGGTAGCTAATTTTTTTACTTACATATACATATACAAGTATACACGCAAACATTTTCAATAAGTAATGGTATAGAAAAACAATGAATTCTGGAAAAAAAGCTAATATTTTATCCAACCTAAAACCTTTTTGTATAAAAGGGGGAGCATACGACACCAGCTTGCTGGCTCCATCAAGTGATTGTACCATCAGGCTCGAAGCATATAACTTACCAGCATGTTGGTACAATATTTATTTCTTTACAAATGAGGTCGAGGAAAGATCGAAATGATTAGAGCCGAAATTTCATACTTTTTTTACCATTTTGTTAAACACTGTTTTTTTTTTGAAATTCACAACTGCAATATCGTGAACTTAATCTTCCACAAACACGGCTTTCACCCATATAGGGCAAGAAATTTCCGCCAAAATACTCTTTACTTAGAAAATTTAGCTAATTTCACCACTCACGACACCAGCATGCTGGTACAATCATAAAATTTTCAAATAGTTTTTGAAGTTGCACCAGCAGCTGGTACAATCACACCACAATAACATAAGTACACGGCCATTGTGATGGGCCATTTAACAAATAAAGCATATTAAGGGCCGTAAACTTATCTATTTTAAACTATAGTAGTATAAAAACGTAAGGCACGTACAATACATATATGTATATCAGGGCGGGTCAATTTGTATGGATCGATTTTTTTCGACATTGTTTCTAGCATATTCGGATTCTTCATAAAATTCTAAGAAAAAAATTCCTGCGGACCATAGCTCTAAAGTCAATTTCGAGCCTGCGCATTTTTAAAAGAAGATATAAAAATGAATTGCTGTCCGTTAGCCTCGCTAAGACTCGAAAACAGCTTGACCGATTTGAAAATTTTTAGTTTTTTGGTTTGTTTTTTATAATATCCGGATGGTTAAAACCAGAAAAAATAGAGAGTTGCCACCTGTTTAAAAATTTCAATATAAGTAAATTAATTACATAAATTAGATATTGCAATATGGGTGGCAAAAGAAAGAGGTTATGAAGGCTTACAGGCGAAAATATTTTTGAGGGGGGTTGCCACCTGTTTCAAAATTTAATTAAATGAAATTGATAAGATAAATTAAATATTGCAATATGGGTATCAAATTAAAAAGGTTTAAGAAGGCTTACACTGAAAATATTTTTGAGTCGAGTTGCCACCAATTTCGAAAATTTAATTCAATTAAGTTAATAAGATAAAGTATGTATTATAATATAGGTGTCGAACGAAAAGTATTTGAAAACTTATTGATTAAGAAATATTTTCTATAGGCCTGCCACCTACCTGAGCGGTAACAAGTAATTTTTAGCAAAAAAAAAACCGACTTCAACTCCCATATAAAAAAAAAATATATATATATATATCTCATGATCCGCTGATCGGATCTCAACCAGATTAGTATGGGACCACCTCTGAGACACTACCTTTCCGATGCAGAATTATCTAAATCGGTTGACGTGGTCCAAAGTTATGCGGTAACATACATAAAAAATAAAATAAAATAATAAAAAAAATAAAAAAATATTCCGACGAACTGATAACCTTCTCCTTTTTTGGAAGTCGGTTAAAAACTAAAAGCCATACTCGCAAATATTATTCAAAGCTTTTGAGGCTCGCATCAATGTGGAATACTGTACCTCCGTCAAGTTAGTGTTTATTGATGGCAAACAAAGTACTATCATGTTTGGCAATGATATCACCCCATCGATATAAAAATAGAACAAAAGCCGAATTATTAGCCGAAGCAGTTCATACAAATGTTCCACAATAGAACTAACAAAAAAATATGGCCTACGACTCTTTTATAGAAGCTGTGGACCCTGGAGTAAAATTTAAACAAAAAAACAAAACCGACTTCAATTCTCATATACAAATTTAAGAGTGCCGTTATTTTCTTCATGTCCCAATTATCGGATCTACACTCAATTAGTAGGAGACTACCTCTGAGGAACCACCTTTCCTTTCAAAAAGAATTATAGAAAACGGATAACGTAGTCCAAAGTTACGCGGTAACATACATAAAAACATATTCCGACGAATTGATAAAATATGCAGATTAATATTTAATAAAGTGTTACGGATATATTTTTTTTAATACAAACCTGTGCTTGGGAGTTTATTGATACGAAAAATTAATTTCTGATATCTATTTTTTATTTAAAGAACCGCAAGATTGCACTACAAAGCAAATTACATATTTTTTACTATTGTAACGGGAGAAGTTACTGTATGTATTTTTTTATATGTACAGTGTCGAACAAAAGTTTTGGCACAGTAAATTTTCGCATTACATATATGCAAAATTTTTAATTTATTTCCGATAATTTTTTATAAAAACATAGTTCATACTACACTAAAACACATAAAAATCAAATATGTAAACTTTGTGAAAAACTCAGGAAAATTCAATAAATCAGCATACTAATTTGCAATTTTATATTCAGATTTTCAAGCAACTTCAAACCTGCATAAACTAAAATTAAATGGATTATTAAACTGCATACTTGGAATTTTTCTAAAAAATACTTTGCCTATATTGCGAAAAATTTACTGTGCCAATACTTTTGTTCGTTACTGTAAGTAAATAAACCCTTAACTTTAAAAAACCAAAAAAAAAATTTACAATATTTCAAAATTATTTTTCGAATCATAAATTTTTTTATGATTAACAATGTATTTATATATTTTTTTTTTGGTTTTAGATCCTTTTTGCTTTCAACACGAGGTATATTTTTCTAGTTTCTATTGTCATAGCCATAACTCCCTCTCTATTTTTATCAATCAATCAATCAATCAATCAATTTTATAATTTTTTTTCGGCATTTTTCCTAATTACAAGTAGAGCTTTATAAAACTTTTATAACACCAAATGTTTATCAAGCTTGGGATTTTATGTTATCCGGGCTGGCTTATTAATTTAGCCAGAGAATATGTTTTCTTTATTAAGTTTACCCAGTTACCCATTTTAAACTGCTACCTGTACTGTATCAGCGGTTAAAACTTGTTAAATTTTTATTTAAAACTAGCCAATGCCCGCTTACTTCGCGGCGCCTAATAAGAGCTTTTGCGTTAGCCAATGCAAAAGAGCGTTTAAAAACAAAATAAGTCTGTAAAGTCAAAGTTGTTGATTTAAGTTGAAACCACTAAGGCGCAGTATCCTCCTCACACATAGGCAAATAGTAGTAACGCTGTGATACCATATGGAATACCAATCCCTTTTGGTGTCATGAGCTTTACTGATGGTCTTATTTTCACCTGTGAGATCTCTGCCAATCATGCGTAATCTTTT